GTGTGCAAGCCCCCAGTATTTTTCATCCAAACGGGGGGGGGGGGACCCTGCAGACCTGTTTTTGAACTTCCCACAGCCAAGGAAAGTGGCGAGCATTAAATTATATGGCAGCTGCAATTATATATCGGAATGGCAGGAAGCAAGCTTTTTGGACATAGCTAGAGAGAGAAAAGAGGACAATTGTGTTTCAGCCATGTAAACCACCAACTGTGCTTTGTGTACTTTATTTTGTCTACCTATCTAATTATATTCAAATCCTATGTTTACACAGCAATGGAGTACTTACTCTGTCAAATGCTAGTTTCTTGTCTTCATTGATACTGTTTTCCTTCTATACATGTGTGTGCATGTTTTCCAGTTAGTTTAATGTATATTGCCATAATTTTGGAGCATTTTTTTGAATTTTCTACAGTCTCACAGAATGAGTATTATTTATTAACCTGTCCTATTATCACTTGAATAAATAAAATAAATAAGCTCCATTAAGCTCTGTGGGACTTACCCCTAGGTAAGTGTGCATAAGATTGCAGCCTAAGAAACCCCAGGAGTACCCCACTGACGCTGGAGGAATTTAGTAGATTTAACACAGCTATAAATTGAATCAGAGCAAAAAGCCTGTTAGTTAATTCCTAATTCAAAAAGGAAGTTGCATAATGTGTAGCTCAGTGTACAAAGGCACCAGCTTAGATGGATCTATTGTTAGCTGTTGGTCAATGCACAAGCTCATATCACACCATGTCAGGCAGAATCAGCTGTTGTGCAAGAAGCATGGGTGCACAGGCATGGAAACTGACATTACAGAATACACAGATAAACCACTCACCTACGTGTATCCTCCGCGTGATTCATTTGCTTGTGTTGCCTGAGTGACTTGTAGAATGCCATCAAAAGAATGATGTGTAAGGAATGATGCTCACATTCTGAGCGAAACAAAATGAACGGATGAATGAATGCATGCTGAACTTCAGTGCTTGATTTTAAACTTTGAATTCTAGGGGGCACTTTAAAAAGAAAGAAAGAAAATAGAACAGAACACGAGGTTTTTGCAAACAAATACGAGACTAGGAAAATGAAGGTACTAAGTTTGAAGGGGGCAACCCCAGCAATGAATTGATATGTCTCTGTGAGCCATCTTGGGCCCCATATTGAAAGAAAGGAGGAACATAAGTCCAGATACTTAATACATAAATACCAAATGCATCCAAGTCACAAGTCTCTGAAGGCTTGGCACTTCTGAGAGAGGTGTCATATACGGATAACTCTATGTGGTTCATACAGACATGGAGCAACATCAAATCCATGATGCCAAAGCATCTCCTGTTGAGAAAGTGTTTGAAGGGAATGAATGTATTTATGCCACTGGTTCATTTTATTTGAAAGTGAGATCAATTACGGTACTTATCTACTCTTTGCCTTAGATCAGGGGTTGTCAACCTGGTCCCTACCTCCCACTAGTGTGCATTTCAGGATTCTAGGTGGGCGGTTGGGGGTTCTATGGGACAAGCTGAATCCTCCTTCCATAGAGTACTGGTGGATGGTAAGGAAATTTTACCATCAAGAAAGATGCATTAGTGGGCAGTAGGTATAAAAAGGTTGACTACACCTGCCTTAGATAAATGCAAACATTCTTGAAATAAAATCCTCTGAGGGTGAAATATGTTTGCACACTTAGCAGGCAGCCAGACCTATAGAACATATCAAATATGCAAAAGATTGTGCTGTATCTATGAGAAACTGAATTCAATAAAACTTGCCCCCACCTGCACTTTTTTTTTTAGTATAGCTGTGTAACTTTTTTTTTTTAAGCTTTTTACAGATAACAACCAAAGATGGACAGGAGGGAATTGTTTTGCAACTTGGAAAAAGGAAGGTAAACTGTGTGTGTTTTGTCTATGTTAATGGATCATTGGTCCCATCATATAAATTAGCAGCCAAGTCCACTATAGAACATCCATTCAAAACTTTTATTTAATTATGTTATGGAATCAAACACGTTCATTTTAATGAAGGAAAAGGCAAGCAGCTAAATCAAGATGGAGTCCGGCATTTGCTATTCCATTACAGTTCAAAACCTGCAACAGATATACTGATTTAATTAATGGTGGGGAGATGAACACTGTAATCTTCTCTGACTTTAATAAATGCAATAGTGGCTTGTGATTATATATATATATATATATATATATATATATAAAACGACAGCTTCTCTCATTTTGCCCCTAGCAAGAACAATTACATTATATCAGATAAATAGCAAAACGTTCCTTCCTTAAAAAATAACATATGCCATTTTGCTTTCTGCGGGATTATCTTGATGTGGGTAGTTGCAGGTGCTTTCTGAGGCAGAGTAATTGGCAACTTTGCTTTAACAAATATTTATCTTGCTGGCAGGGTTCTCAATTATGAATGAAAGCCTAGTTCAAAGGTATTGCTTGAAGTTGTAGTGCGAGAGGGGGTGGAATTCATACAAGGATGTGATTGGCATTGCAGACTCATGAACAAGAATGAAGCATTGTATTGTGTGATTCATAGCACTTTTACTACATCTCTCACGTTCGCTGCCAAGAAAATGTGGGCTTTTCTTAGGAAAGTGGTCAGATGCTAATGCTTTTTAATTGCATACGTGTCATTTTGGTCCTGATGTGGAGACATGACACCACTCATGACTATTCCCGAGAAACACACGTCTCCCATAGCAAAAAAAAAAAAAAAAAAAAGGATTTGCAGATGGTACCAAGAGTTACAAAGCCACACACGCTATCAGTAACACACACTATCAGTAACTGTTACAATAGTAATGCGTGCTGGAAAAATCATGCTCATTTTGCACCTGCTTTCAAAGAGAACGGAAAGCCATATTTCATTAAAGTCAAACACAAGGAGGTGAACAAAAGAACAAAGCCTCATTGGTGAGTTATATCTTGCCCAAGAGTGTATGTGTGCTTGAATAGCAGGCCTTCTGAGGATAACATCACCAGGGGTCAAATTCTAACTCAAGAGGAAAGTAGACCCAAGGGTGTAGTGTAGGGGGGGCAGTAGGACCATGGCCCCTTGTGCACAATTTTGAGGGGCGTGAATCAACCCCCCCACATGCTGGTGACCCCAGCACAACCTGGCACAGTGCTTGGGAGCATTGGGAGGGGGGATTTTCCCACCAGGGACCATGTTGTTTGGCCGGGCTCCCCTCTGCACAGCTGAATAGGTGCAGTGTGGCCCAGTGGAGAGGTTGCTCTGGTAGTGAGGGCTGGCATAGCGGGTCTCATTCACCCTCAGTGCCTCACGTCCTGGTGTGTGCCCCTCACCCCGGGCACTAGCACCCATGCTATGCTGCTGGCGGGACCCCCCCCCATCTGCATACATGGTGCTTTCCATAGAACAGGTTTAATGGGGTTATGTGTGTGTGGATTCCCCCCCCCCCCAGGAGTAGATGCTTAAAATATTGCAAGTTTAGTGCATACATATAAATAGGGTGGTCACATAAAGAATCAGACTCAAGGAGACACAGACATTTGAAAGATGTGTACACCAGTATGAAACGTGTCTAAACAGGCCAGGGACCTGGTGATGAAGTGGGGGTTTCTGCCAATGTTTTTTCTCTTGTTAAGTGTGACATTGCCTTAATTTGTAGTTTACTTTGGAAACCACTGGCCACCTGTGTCTTTTTTTGACCATGAAATAACACCTGTCTCTGAAATCAGTTACAATATGTGCAGCACTTTCATATATCTATCTATCTATCTATCTATCTATCTATCTATCTATATTTGTTCTTGTTTAGTCATTTAGTCGTGTCCGACTCTTCGTGACCCCATGGACCAGAGCATGCCAGGCACTCCTGTCTTCCACTGCCTCCCGCAGTTTGGTCAAACTCATGCTGGTAGCTTCAAGAACACTGTCCAACCATCTCATCCTCTGTCGTTCCCTTCTCCTTGTGCCCTCCATCTTTCCCAACATCAGGGTCTTTTCCAGGGAGTCTTCTCTTCTCATGAGGTGGCCAAAATATTGGAGCCTCAGCTTCACAATCTGTCATATATATATATGAATAAATTGTATATATATTTCTGGTGCCTTAAAGGTTAACAAGTTTATTATGGCATAAGCCATAATAAAATTTAGTAACAATAAGCATATATTAGGGTTGCCATAATATAAACACATTTCCAGGACACGTCCTCTTTCTCACGGGTAGAGTCGTCATAGCAATCCATAGAAGTCGGCAAATGTATCCTCATCTTTAAAATATGGCAACCCTATTCAGACTAGCCAACATGGTGTAGTGGTTAAGAGCAGTGGACTCATAATCTGGTGAACCGGGTTTGCTTCCCCGCTCCTCCACATGCAGCTGCTGGGTGACCTTGGGCTAGTCACACTTCTTTGAAGTCTCTCAGCCGCACTCACCTCACAGAGTGTTTGTTGTGGGGGAGGAAGGGAAAGGAGATTGTGAGCTGCTTTGAGACTCCTTAAGGAGACAGACTTGCGTGATATTGCAAATGTATAAACACATGTGGTTTAAAATATAGGGCTGCAGAATTATAGAATTGTAGAGTTGGAAGGAACAACAAGAGTCACCTATTCCAACCCCCTATAATGCAGGGATGTTTTTTTGCCCAACATGGATCTCAAACCCACAACCCTGAGATTAAGAATCTCATGTTCTAGTGAGGAGCCATCCCAATCAACTCACTTTTACTCCGAGCAGACCCACTGAAATCAGTAGCCATGGTTGAAGCACATTCATTTCAACGAATGTAAAATTTACTTAAATGTCTGAATGGCAGGCAAATTATGATATGGGTTAAATTCATACTTTGCAAAAAATTCTTTTGACGGGGCGCACGCTCTGTGTGAATGGTAGATCCTTCTCCACCGTCACACTAGGCATCCTTTGTTCAGTGAATGCAAAACAAATGTCTCCACCCTCTCCGTGAGGATTTCCCAAGTTTCTTTTTTCATCCACTGAAGTTCTCTTCACCGGCCCCGCGAGCCGGGCATGTCCGCGCATGAGGAACAACCTGCGAGGACTACGCTTCCCAGCTTTCCCCGGGGCCGGGGGCGGGGATCGGCTCCGTAGGAGGCGGCTGCAGAAAGGGGGCTTTGTGCTGGGCTGCGCGCTCGTCTGTCTGTCTGGCTCGTTCCTCGGCGGCGGCTGCTGCTGCTGCTGTTCTGCCGTCCTGCGCTTTGTGGGCGCTGCGCTCGCTGCCGCGGTCGAGAGGCGCCGGCGGGGCTCCCGGAGCAGCGGACCTCTCCGCCGGAGGAGCCATGCTGCTTCCCTCAGGCGGGACCGCTCGGAGTGGAAACTGTGCAACATGCAGCAGCTGAGAGCCCGGCTGGCGGCTCGCACCTCTCGGAGAAAAGGATTGCGCCGGGGAGGCGGAGAAGGCAGCAGGAGAGCATGAGGAGAGAAGACTAGGCAGAGAGAGAGACAGACAGATCCGGGCGGCTCGCCTTGCTGTAGCTTTGATTTATTTTATTTTCACCTCAGTTTTGTTGGCGGCGGCGGCGGCGGCTTGGGTTGGGGAGGGGGTTCTCTCGCCGCTTTCCTTGGGGGTGGGCGGGGAAGGAATAACGGAGCGGCGGCGTCGTGGGAGCCGAGAGCCGGCGGCAGCAGCCTCGCCTGGCGTGGCCTGCCTGTGAGAGAGCGGCGGACGGAGCTCCCCCGGCCCCGTCGCCGTCGCCATGGGCAATGCGGGGAGCATGGACTCTCAGCAGACGGACTTCAGGGCGCACAGTGTGCCGCTCAAGCTGCCCATGCCCGAGCCCGCGGAACTGGAGGAGAGGTTCGCCGTCGTGCTGGTGAGTGTGGACGGAGCCCCTTCTTCTTCTTCTCTGACCCCCTAATGGAGACGGAAAGAGATGAGGAGGTGGTGGTGGTAGTAGAGGAGGGGGCTTTTCTCGACCCACCCCCTTCCTCGTCCTTCCTCCTCGTTAAAAGGGGACCAAAAAAAAAAAGGTGTGGAAATCCTCTATCCCGTGTGGAGATGGCTCAACTGCGCTTCTCTTCTCCACACGCACGCACCCCCCCCTCGAGGGGGGAAATGGGTCGCTCGGAGTTGGGCGGTGGGCGCCCAAGTGCCTGTGGAGCAGCTGATCCATTGTTTGGAAAGGGGGAGCGGGGCAAGGGGCGGCAGGCGGAGCGGCTCTGCGGGCGAGTGAGGGAGAGAGTGAGGGGGCGTGAAGAGGAGGAGGGAGGAGAAAGAAAGAAGTGAATGGGCTTCGCTGGCTCGCACGCCCGGCCTTCCCCGTTCCTCAAAGCGGCGAGCGATCGTTCTCCGCCTCCCCCTCCTGCTCCTTCCCCGGTGAAGGGGAAGATGCGACCCCCGGTCTGCTTTTGCTAACTGTGTGATCCCGGAGAGAGCGAAAGTTATTGCGGTGCAGCAGGCGGCCATTCGCAGTTGCTGCTGCTTCTGCACCTAAAGAAAGGTTCCTCGTCTCGTTTGCAAGGGGAGGTTGGGGAGAGGGAGAGAACGAGTCGGGAAACCTGGAGAGGGGGAAAGGCCGTCCTTTCCCGGTCAAAGTTGGGAAAACCAGCACGTTTTGTTGCTGTGGGCTGCTTGTTTGGCTGTGAAATCGGAGAAAACATGTCGTTTCCCGCAGCTGGGGGGCTTTTGCACCCGGATCTGATAAAATGCACTTTCGGTGGGAAGTGAAGTCCCATTGATTTCGGCTAAATTGATTCGCGAGGAAACGTGCGTCAAGGTCGCAACTTTTACTTAAGCCCATGGGTCGCTTTGGGGCGCTGGGAGCGATTAAGTCTTGGCCCGTCCTTTGCCTTTTATTTCTCTTAATGGTTTAATAGAAGCCGCCTCACGGCAGCTGAGTTTCCACGGCAAATTGCAAACCTTTTCCGTGAGATGAAGATGGTGCGCCCCCCTCCTCTCTTTTGCTTCATACTGGCTTTGGGACTTTTAATTCCACTTTATGCACTGTAAAGGAGCTGGAGGGTGATCTTTTTCTCAGAATTATGAATTGATGGTGCTAGGTAAACGTGTAGAATTCTGACCTTTACATTATTATTATTATTTTAAACCTGTGTTTGGCATAATGGTTTCTAAGCAGCATTTCCCTTCCCTTAAGTGCTGAAGCAGAGATTGGTATTTCATACAGAAGCAAGGCAATCAACTTTTCAGTGCTGGTTTCTGTCTGTGGATTTGACTTCGCAAAACTAAAATTCTGCACGCTATGCCCATGAATATTTAGCAATTCAGCAGCTATCAGTCAAAAGTGATTGTGCATACAGTGATTAAAAGGAGGAAGTGCTCATAGTCTTGAAGTAACCCTGAAAGTTCTCTTAAATTGCTTTGGGAGTAAGTTTGCACATTTTAAAGAAGTAAGGATTTCTCCTTTCAAGCGCTGTGGAAGTTTGCAGAGGGTTCAGGAAGCACGTGCTTTGCTATCATCCTCCTCATCATCATTCTTGTTTCTTTACCTTTGGCATAATTTATGCTGGAACTCAGCCACTGTAGCAGTGACTTGGGTGTGTGAAATCTGAGTTCACATCCAGCCAGAAGCAATGATGTGGCTCAAAGGAAGCAGACAGGAATACATTTTCTTTTTGTCTGTACTTGTACCACTCTTACTTTTGCAACTGCATCCTGCTAGATGGAGCCTTAAGTAATAAAACACTTTTTTAAAAAAGGTGGCAATTAAACATGCAAGAGAAGTAATTATTTTTTTCAGGGGAGCAGTGGTGAGATCATTTCAGTTATGTCAGGTGCTTTGACCTGCTTGAAAAGTAATCTTCCCCCTTCAAACACACACTTTCCTACCACCTCTATCTATTCTTGTACTAGAAAGGGGTCGGCAAGGCTTACCAGCCATGGAGATCGTCCGTGGGCTCGACCGGCGCAGTGTGACGCTGGAAATCATGTCTGCACATGTCCGCGGCGCCGGTAAACACTTTTCGGCATCTGGGCATGTGCAGAAGCAAGTTCTGGTATCTGAGCATGCGCAGATGTGATTTCCGGCACCGCTTGACGAGTCCCCACGCCACACTGTGTCCATTTAGCACAGCGCGCGGGGGACTTGCCAAGCGGGTGGCTCGTGGGCTGGTAAAACGGTCTCTGTGGGTGGATCTGGCCCATGGGCCGCACGTTGCTGACCCTGTACTAGAAGATCATATAAGCCTTGATGCAGAGGTGGCTTCGCTTATTAATTCCTGAGTGCTGAAGAAAGTCGTTGTGATATGTGATCTAGAACGCTTTTCCACTTACACATCTCTCCAGCTGTGTAGTTTTTGCCTGCCTCATCAATGTTACACATGCCTTTGTAAATCTAGATCATCCCGATAGCATTATTCCTTCTGATATAGTGAACTTGGGTGACTGAGCGCTTGTCCATCATTAGGAAGTGAAACAGGGCCACCCAAAAACAAAACTGATCTATTTCATACTCCCAAGGTATAAATAAAATATTAGAAATTTTAAAAATGCTAATTTAATAATAATAATGATCACAACTGGCTGACATAGAAACTGTGAGCTTTCAGGAGGTACGCAGTGCTGCTGAGAATTGAAGACATCTGACGGCAGCCCTCTTTAGGGAAGTTTTTAATGTGTGACACTTTAATGTATTTTTAATCTTTGTTGGAAGCTGCCCAGAGTGGCTGGGGAGACCCAGCCAGATGGGCGGGGTACAAATAATAAAGTATTATTATTATTATTGTTGTTGTTGTTGTTGTTGTTAAGCCTAGACCGAAAGGGTCTTAAGGAAAGACCTGGGCAAATTCGCAGTGTCAATTGTGGGCCACATTCACACTATTTAAAGCACTATGATACCGCTTTAAACAGCTATGGCCCCCCTGAATCTGGGAACTGTAGTTTAAGGGTGCTGAGAGTTGTTAGGTCACCCCTATTTTCCCTGGAGAGTTAGTTACTAGAATGGTTTCATGATCCTCTTTCCAGGGAACTCTGGGAGATGTAGCTCTGTGAGATGAATAGTCGTCTTTTAACAACTTCTAAACAACATTTCGCAGGATTCTTTGGGAGAAGCAGTGGCTGTTTAAAGTGGTGTGTAGCTTCTTTAAAGGCAGGTGGGGCCAAACAGACAATTTAGTCTAGTACAGTGGTACCTCAGGTTACATACGCTTCAGGTTACATACGCTTCAGGTTAAAGACTCCGCTAACCCAGAAATAGTACTTCAGGTTAAGAACTTTGCTTCAGGATGAGAACAGAAATCGGGCTCCGGTGGCGTGGCGGCAGTAGGAGGCCCCATTAGCTAAAGTGGTGCTTCAGGTTAAGAACAGTTTCAGGTTAAGTACGGACCTCCGGAACGAATTAAGTACTTAACCTGAGGTACCACTGTATCCTGTTCTCACAGTGGCCATCTAGACGCCTGTGGGAAGCCCACAAGCATGAGTTGAATTCAAGAGCACTCTCCACACTTGTGTTCTCCTGCAACTAGTGTTCAGAGGCACACTGCCTCCACCTATGCAAGAAAAGGGAAAAGAGCACATTTCTCCCTTTCCTGCTTGTAGAACTGCATTCTCCCTCTTGATATATAGTTACAAAATGCCCAGCCCTCCAGCACTATGTAGCACAGCGGAAGGAGGACTGGAGGAGGGTGTGGGAAGAAGTATCCTGTATCCATTTCCCACTTTTGGAAATACTGAGGACTTAAAAAAAAAATGCAGTTTGACTTTGTATATCTGGGGCTGATTTAAGTGCAAGGGGAGCTGACCCCTACACTGGAATTGCACCTGTTTTGGTTGAATGTAGGTAGAGATGTTTTCAAAGAGAAAACTCCAGGGAGTTAGTGGTAAGGCTCCAGTTGTTTTGAACAATATGAGATGAAGCTACTTATGGCTGAATAAATTTCACAATAGTGTTCACACATCATGGTGCAAACACACACATAGAGGTTGGCAAGAATGCAGTATTTATGGTGAGTGCAGAAATTCATCACCATATCATAAAATCAGTAGTGAATGCGGTGCTGAAACAATACAACTGTCTTTTCTGTGGTGAAATTCATGGGGGAGGGCAGTGGATTCTCCAATTAAAGCTGATACCTGTTTTGACTATTTCTGATTAGACTCACTCAGATCATCACGTGAATAAGCCTGTTTGTGGAAGCACTGATACACCAAAACAGTTCATCAGCTTCCTTCCCCGAGCTTCATTTCTCTAACCCGCACCTCTCGCAACCACCTTGCTGATAACACATAATCCTCCTTCATTCTACCTGGGGCATCTCCAGCGAGGTGATGCTACAGAATCTGTGCAAGTGATGATTGGCAGTAGGAACTGATCTATGCGCACACATTCCATAGCATTGCTGTCCTGTGCAAGAGACCTCCATGTTTGTGTCTTGGGACCATAGCTGTCAACTTACAGATTTGAAAATAAGGGACCAGCAGCCTCAAAAACAAGGGATCAGCAGCCAAAATAAGGGATTTTAGTCAACCAGCAGCCAAACGAAGCCTCAAGCGGTGGTTCCCACAGCGCAGCAACCCAGCAAAGGGGATGCAGCAAGGAAAACCAGCGTCACCTCTCCGCTGGGAAGCGCTCAGCAAAGGCGAGTCCCCAGGCAACGTGGCCGATTTGATCGGCACAAAGCATGCAAGCTCTACCCCCCAGTCATTCTTAGACTCCTTATTCGGTGAGCAACGCAGCCAAGCAATACAGTTGGAGCCTCCCTCCTCCCTGGTCGGCAGGGAGGGAGGGAGAATAGCTGCTTCCTTTGAAACCCGGGAAATTTAAGGGACATCATCAATAAGGGACAGCAGCAGGACATGGCGCTGGGATAAGGGACTTTCCTGCCAAATAAGGGACGGTTGACAGCTATGCTTGGGACACATTGGTTTCACATGGTGCATATATCTAGAGCTAGGTCTTGTTATTGAATAGAAGCATTGTGTAATCAGTCTGTGTGATTGGCCACTGTGTGAACAGGATTCTGGCCTTTGGTTTGACCCAGCACAAGGACTCTAGCCCACCTCTTGATCTGAGGGCTTCTGCTTGTCCGGTGCAACTCCTGCTCCACATGGACATCGACAAACCAATACAGACAAACCAGGACAGCATTTACATGTGTTGCATCCCAAGGAAATAGATTCACAGGGACTGGGGTGCTGGGGATAGGACAGAAGTTCAGTGTGAAAGTCAAATGCCACTGTTGCCAGCTTGTTGGTTGGCCTGTTAACATGAATTAAGAAGCGCATTCCCTTGCTAAAATGGTTGGGTTGATCTGGATTTTCCCCGCAGAACTCTCCTTAGACAATGTCAGCTTTGTGGGTGAGCTTTAGAATGTTGAATAACCATGAAGCCATCCAGCAGCTTAATTCATTCGTGTTATGATTGAAATGTCAAAGCTCTGGTTGTGTTGGCAAGAAAGGCTGGAGGACCTAAAGTGAACGCCAATGATAGTACTACCCCAGATTCACCAATCCAACTCGCGTTGATCTTTCGCTTTCCATATTTGTATCTCGGAGTGAGCATTAATGCACCCTTTCTCAAGAGATGTTGCCTGCATATTCCCCTGTTAATGACGCCTGCAGAATGCCTCTTTGTTTCTGGCTCATTTAAGATGTGTTTGAAGCCAGAAAGTAGCAGCAGCACAATCCTGCTTTCTTCTTTTTATCGTTACAGAATTTCTAAGCAGCCAGTGGAAGATGCCAACTGCTCCAAAATCTTTATTTCATTTGACAAATGGGTGCAAATTGGTAGCTGAGGTCTATCCCAGTTCTGTTCGGTTCTTTTTGTTTTGTTCTTTTAAATTATTGAGTTATTTTTATTGTCAAATTCCAAATGTTTAATTTGGCCAGCTTTTGTACACTAGTTTTACTTTGATGAGCTCTTTTGATCTGGTTATTTTATCCTCTTAGCCATATTAAGACTTCTTTTTAATATGTTTTGATATTGGGCATCTGCGTATTGCCATCCTCAAGAGTGACTATTAAACCAAGGAGTGCATTTCAGCCAGATTTCATGAGGGGCTTAGCTTTGGAACATGTCTTCACCCCTAGATCATGGAAAGTCATAGCAAGAAGAGAATCTGCAGAGTGCTATTTCATCACCACCAAATGTCCTCAGCTAGCTCCAGGCATCTAGAACGAGAGCTTCTATTTCAGAGAGTGTGCCTTCCAGGCATGTGTGAGCCTTGAAACCTGACATATCATTTTAGAAATTAATCGCTGAATACAGCAGACCTGTTCATGCATTTGGACAAATGCATGTAGACGTGTGGTGGGGAGGGGCACACATGTGAGCCCCCTTCCCAGTGTCACTTTTGAGTCAGGTCCTCTTATGATCCTTGCATGTTGAGTGAGATGGTCTGAAGGTAGAGAATGGGGGTTAAGCAGAATTCTTAAGCAGAATGGGGAGGCATCTAGGCACGTTCTCCCCAACTGGGTGCGGGAAAGGACGCTGTACATGCTGGTCTGTTAGGGCAAATGGGGCACTGCCCCATTAACCTTGGTCTCCCCTCAATCAGCCCCTCTCTGCCCGTCTTCTAGACTAACAACGAATCCAGGGGGTGGCACTGCATGCCAGCATCCCCTTCCTAAGACTCAGTGTTGCCCTTATAGAACTCTGCAGGGAGGAGAAGTATGGGGACAAAACTAGTATCAGATGGCTTTGCCTGTCATTGACTTTGGCTTCACCTCCTGTCGGTCTCCCTGTCATCCTCCCTACCAGTCCCAATGGGCAGCAGCCACCCCTGCATGCTGGGATGTTGGGGGCAGGGTTCTGTCTTTTGTTCCTCTCTGCTCACCACTTTAATCTCACATGTGTTCATCCCAAATGAAGTTTTAGGTTTTGAGATCCTGCATGCCTGAATAGGGCTGATACACCTAAGGAATGTGCAATGAGATATGTTTAGTCTGCATCTGGGTTGAGCAAAGTCTTGGCCAGACTTTATCTCATTGAAATCGGTGAGGTCTGTACACTTAACAGTGTGGTTTGTCCTCATAGATTACAACATGTCCTGTGCGTCAGAAATAAATATACGAAAAGTGGTGGCTTTGCATCAGGCATGTGTTACATGCAGCTCATAAAGTTAAGTAATGCCTACCAACTGTACAGGTTGGAGGGTCAATTTCGCCTTCCTTTCTGAGACATTAGGCACAATCAGTGATACACTGAAGAACGCTGTTAAGCATGTAAGTCACATTGATTTCAGTATGAAATGTTTTAACTAAGGATTGCTTAGACTTCCAGTTTTCCATACTTGAGTGTTAAAACTATGAAGCAGGCATGGTTATGGTGTGTGTGTGGAAACACCCAGTTCATGCATGCTGTCAAAGGTCTGGCTGCATGCCCTTCCATGTGTAATACTGCAAATTGCACATGGGCAATTCTCAATCATATGTGCAGCCAGAATCCCCAAGCATCATAGGACATTCTGGGTTTCATGTACTGTGTATCCTCCATCCCCTGTTTACATTTTCAAGCTGAGAGTTGGGGGAAAAGGAATGTCTGAATTAGCCCTCACTCTCTCTGGTGTGTGTGCACAAAGAAAGTTATGTCTCGGTCCCCAAACGATAAAGCTTGTAGCCATCTTGTATTGAGTCAGACCATTGGTTTATCTTGCTCTGAACTGTCCGCACTGACTTGTAGCAAGTCTGTAGGCTTTTTCAAGCAAGGGTCTCTCCCAGCCATACTTGGAGATGACATGGATTGAGGATGGGACTTCCAATGAGGCATGAGCCCTTCCCCAAAGGAGGAAAGAGTGAAGCCGCAGTGCTTCCAGCAGGATGGTCTTTTTTCTGAGTCTTTGATAGCATTTCATGTTTATGGAGGACACATGGTCAGAAGCAGAGCTGCCATGGCGGAGGCTGCAGAAGGGATTGCTTCCTGATGAGCTGCCGCTGACATGATTTGATCATTGGCTCATGTTTTTGTGGTCATTCTAACACGAAACATCCCTTTACCCTTTAGCTGTGTGCAAATGATTTACTCTGTGTGTGGTTTAAGAGGATGTAGAACAGCACGTTTTTATTGTTATTTTGTAGTTTATGATGTGTGCGTCCACCACTTACCAAAAAAAGACAAAATCCCAACTAGGATGGTAAAGCTCATGTTGTGCTTAGCTTCAGAAAGGAGCAGGAAACAAGTTAGCTGATGGTTGAAAAGGAAAGTGGGATCCACAGCCTCCCCATATTGGCCTATGGGTATTTTTTTACCCATTTCATCTTCTGCTCTCTTTCCGTCTGGGCAACATGTTCAGGGGAGCCACAAGGCAGCCCCCTGTTTGCTTGTAGGCTGCTCCATTGCCTCCTTTCCAACAGTTTACACCATCATGGTGGTTGTTGATGTGGTGTGTTAGGTGTGTTAGGAAGAGGGACTGCTTTACTCCAGGGAGTTGGGTGCAAAACCTGCACCTTCCCACACGTTCTCAGTAGGATTCAGGCTAGGAAAGAAGTGATAACCCAGGCAACTTGATCTAAGCCCAATTTGGGAGGGTGTGTGTGCCTAAGACAGCAGTTCTCAACCTGTGGGTCCCCAGATGTTGTTGGACTACAACTCCCATCATCCCTGAGCTCAACAAACATCTGGGGACCCACAGGTTGAGAAAGGCTGGCCTAAGACTAAGTCTTGCTTCCCAGCTCCCACAGTGTGCTGTCCCGGGTGCTGATGCTGGACTACCGCTTGCAATTGCCAACCTACCAGAATTGCAAGCCATCAACTGCATCTGCTGGTGTTCCATAGCCTTGCCACAGTAGCTTCAGGAAGCAGGAGAGCACTGTTACAACAGACCATAGAATTGTAGAGTTGAAAGAGGGGGCCACAAGGGTCATCTCGTTCCACTCCCTGCCATGCAGGAATCTTTCGCCCAATGTAGGGCTTAAACCCCAAAGCCTTAAAGCCTCATGCTCTACCAACTGAGCTATCCATTAAGGCCATATGTGCCACCTGGTTTGTTTCCTGACCTGTTCCTGGACTGTCCTTCCTCTAGAGCAGGATGGGGGTGGGGGGAAGCTGTTGGACTTACATTCCCACCAGCCCCAGGCAGTATCGCCAATAGTCAGGGGTGATGGGAGTTGTACCCCAGTGACACCCAGAGTGTTACAGGTCCCCCACCCCAATTTACAAGAACAGTGTTGTTGGACTTGCCTCCTTTCTGCCCTACAAACCCCAGCTTGGCTCAGCACCCCTGCTTCTTGGTTGTCTGCAGCCTTGCTAGCTTATGGGACCTGGCCTTGCCAGCAATGGTCTTCTGAATCCACAAGTCATATCAGTTCGATCCATTGAGGTGAGCCCCTCATGCTAAGGAGATCCAAAGCAAACAACACACACACAGCCTTTTGGCTTCCAACAGTATTTTCTAATTTATTTTAGGAAAATGAAACAGTCCTAATTTCTCTAGGCAGTGCTCTAAACCTTGCATCAATAAGCTTCTTACCCTAATTCTCATGGACATTTGTAGGGATAACCAATGTGGTGTTTCCCCCTGCCCCCATTGTTGGGACTCCAGTTTCCATCATCCCTGACTCATAGGTTATGCTTGATAAGAGCCATAGTTCAACAACCTGCATAGCTCACTTGGTTAGAGTGTGGTGCTGATAATGCCAAGGTTGCAGGTTCAAACCCCGTGTGAGGCAGCTGCATATTCTTGCATTGCAGGGCTAGATGATCCTCAGGAGACATCCTTCCAACTCTTACAGTTCTATGATTCTATCATCAAACATCCAGAAGGCACCACATGGTCTATTTCTGATTTTTACAGCACCTGAAATAAAAACTGCAGAACTTTGTGTTTGCTTGTGGACCACAGCTGTAAATGACTTGGTAATATATGCATGAAGCACCGAAATAATGTTCAGATACATAAGATGTTGTGTGTGTGTATATGAATATTTTGGTAGCATATTTCCATACCAGATAATTGGCTTAATTTATTGGGACTTTACTGATGAAGGTATGAACCCATTCTGTCAAGCTGCATGTGTCATTTGCTTCTGCCTTCAGTAAGCTCGCAGTAGCCTAGAAGAAAGTAATACGCTAGATTTTTTTTATAAAAAGACCCCGATGCAAAGGATGACTTTATGATGCCAATGCTAGGAAAGATTAATCCATACGTCACAAAATCATTTCTTTTGGAATGTATGTGTTTTGGCAGAACCCTGGAATAAAACTACAGCCTTCTGATTTTGAGGACCAGTTATTTCATACAGATACTGCAGCTCAGGCTGAACCACAAGGGCCTAAGCGTGGGAAAGACGTATTTCATTAATAGGTAGAATTATAACTGGGGTATATATGTGTTCCTGGTGGTCGGAAGGGAAAGAATGAAACAGACCTTTCATTCTGCTGTGATTCCAATCAAAGTGGAAGCCCTTCTGTTCTTTATTTAGTTATTTTTAATTGAGGTATTATTCTTCACCTTCCATTTTGATGTAAAGTTGACTTTACATTGTAGGACTTTAGAAGCTAAAGCAATTTCCCGCAAAATACTGTGTCCTGTTGGGCAAAGCCTTGCAGGTAGTTCTCGCACATCAGGTGATATTCAGAGCAGACTCGCTGAAGTATCTCTGCTCCAAATATAAGTAACCATCCATGTCACCCACTGAAATTAAAAACACGCTGGAATTATTTTTTAATTTGTATTTGTTGATACGCACTTATTTAACTTGGAACCATTGAAAGCTATTTGTGCATCCTTCCCCCCAATCATGTGAAATCCTGAATTAGTACCCTGAAATAAATATTATATTTCAAGAACAGCAAAACGTACAAGCTGGGTTTTTTTAAAATGAACATATGCCATTCTGCATCAATGCTGTTAATATTTAACACTACTTAAATTGTTTTACTATACTTTGAAGGCTCTACATCCTTTGAGAAGCCATGTGGTTAATTCATAACCTTTTAAACTTTATGACTTTGCATGTTTTATAATTTATTGTAGTGCTTTAAAACTGGAAGCTACCTTGGGCAGCTTGGCAGAAAGGTGGTAGATAAAGGTAATAAATAAATGCACGTTTAATTTTTAAAAAATGAAGTATGTGGTTGAATCCATTCTGTGTGTTACGTTTTAGGTCAAGAAGTTGAGAAAAATATTGTGGGTTGTGTTTAGCTCTAGTCTAGTGAATCTTCAAAGAGGGTAGTTTCTGTATCCTTCGTCCTCCTTTAGAAGGATATAAATTGATTAATAAATACATAAATAAATAAACACAGCCACCCAGATTTTCCGTCCATGAGGACTAGGAACATATCTGATTCTAAAATAAATGGCATAATTCTCAGGTTTCTCCATGGAATTCCTCTTCCTGCTGAGGGGCCAACCTACACATTATCCTAACTGCATAGCATGCAGATGTGCTTCCTGACTTCCTTTCAGGCATGTCCAAAGTCCGTTTTGGGGGCCTAATCCGGCCCGCCAGTTGGTTTAATCCAGCCCCTTTGGCAGTTTATTTCCTGGGGTAAACTCCTAAAAAAAGCTCTACAACTTTGGTTGGCCCTTTGGTTGGCCTCCACGGCCCTTCACTTCTGGCCCTCTTTGAAAAAAGTTTGGACACCACTGGAACTTCTAAAGGGTGCCCAGGGAGGTGGGGGGATCTGATTTCTTTCTTTCTTTTTTGAAGGGTTCACAATACACAGGGTGGGGAAGTTTATATTTTCCCTTCTCAGCTGTAACCTCTCTGAAAAAGGCCATTCCTGCTCTGGCTACAGTTGTGGTGTGCGGGTGCCTTCTTTGGTAGCGTTGTGTGGGTGAGGGTGAATTTTCTTTTTTTCTTTTGGAAGAGCTGATATCCAGCGGACATTAAAGGAAATTTGGAGGCAAAGCTGCACACTTCATAGTAAAATCAGGCTTGGCCTCAACCATCTTTGTTTTTGTTTTTTCCTTCAGAATTTTCTCACTCCTCCAGTTCTGCTAGTGGCTACAATCTGTTACCATTCAATAACAAAAACTGCTGGGGCGGATTGAGTTTCCTTATTAATGTAGGCACAAACGTTCATCGCTCTTTCTCCCCCTCCCTCACCTTTTTAAAAAAGTGGTTTACGTATGCAGTTTGCTAACCCATCCAAATGTTTTAATGATCACTGTTTGCAAGTAGGATTTTTTTGGGGGGGGGTGAGACTGTATTGTGGAGGGAGCTATATGCAAGTTTAGCAGCTGATCTGTGCTTGTTATTGCAACAGCTAGGTAGAGGTTAATAGGTCCATAGCAGAGCATGCATGGTGGCCCCAGGTTCCAGCCCATAGCAGCTAAGTGATGTTGGGAGACAGAGATGCATTGCAACCAGACCATATTGACTGCAGTGGGATGGAGGCTGCCTTTGTCCCAAAGACCTGCAAATAAGGCGAATTGCTGTCCGCTCTCATTTCTACATTGAGAAGAGGTCCATTGGTGCTTGCTTCAAATCAAGGCACGATTGCTTCAAAACAGAGGATGCACCATTTCATGTGATTAAATTGAATTGCATTTGATTTTTCATTACTGTCAGGATAATACATATGTTTCCAGTTTTTCTCCTTGTTCTAGCGATGACACTTTTTGACCTACCTTTGCAGCTAATATAAGGTAGGATGGAGTTCTTTGTAGTAGATGAGTCTCTCCCCCTCCCCGTTCCTTGTTGTTGTTTTTGCCCAAGCATGCTGAAGGAGGTATTCCTAATCCCTGAACTATTTGCACTTTCTCCCTTGACACTGGCTTTCTGCTTCCCTCAGCCAGCACTGCACAGTGCAAACTTTACACCAGTGGAGGTGCTTTCAAGTGGTAATGGGGGAGGCACAGTCAAGAAAATTGCTTCTAATTTGTAGGAGAATCTCCACTTAGACTGAAGCCCCAGCACAAATTGATGTTAAAAGTTAATAATGTTGTTTGGGTTGGATTTATGGTCATTTACACAATGAAGCCAGTCAATAAGTGCCCACAGGCTCTCTTTTGAGTGTGAATTGCCTAGTGCTGGGGATAATTGTTCGTTACCGACAACACATTTGTAACTAAATCTTGGGTACTTTGAGATGCGATGGTGGTAGGAACTAACCTGTGTCCTGAGTATAAAATGGCATTGGGGAGTGTGTGAAATGAAATCTTCTCCCCCCATTTATTTTCATCAATAAAAATGGGGACATATCCTTTCTTGTTCTTTCTCTTTGCATGTGCCTCCCCTAGCACTGAGAAGCCTTGGCAGGTCATCCAAATTAACTCTCTTGTGTGCATAGTTAATAAAATTATTGGAACTGATCAGCTGTGCCCACACCACTTTGATTATCCTTTCACAGTAGCCTTTCACAACCTGGTTTCCACCTTATGTTGTTGAACCCCAATGCCCATAATCCCTGACCATTGGCCGTGCTGCCTAGTTGGTTGAGATGGGAGTTGGAGTCCAGCAACATGTGGAGAACAGCAGCTTCAGGAGGGCTCTTTTAAAGCATTCTAGTAAGGGTAGGCCTAGTGAAACTGAAGGAGCAGAAGTATTGGACACACATGTAGGCATTCGGCTCAAGATCAAAGAAGGGTGTCAAACGCACAAGAAGAAAACCTTTATCTCCTGAGTCTCCTCTGTCAAGCACAACATTCTTGAATGGAAATATGGAATGTTCTGTGGTCTAGCATCATACCATTTAGTAGAGATAATGCTAAGCTAGATGGACCACTGGTCTGATAACGGCGTAAGACAGTTATCTCTTCCTAGCTTGCTGGTTGTTTGCACGCTCCGTTTCAGACAAGGGGTCTAAGTGGGCTGCAAAGGGGTGTGGTCACATTGTTGCTCCACCTGTCCAGGTCTGAGCACAATTCTGAAGGAGGTAGATGCCTAGAAGCTAATTATCAGAAGTGGTGTCTGCATCTCTTGCACCTTTGGAGCTGTTGTTAGTGAGGCTCTGCCAATAAAGAATTAAACTTCCCATCACTTGTCCTTATTGGCGCTGGATGTGCTTGGGACAGTGTGTTTTGTGGTTCAGAACATACACATGGTTTTCCACCTTGCGCATGTTAAAAGGTTGAACTGAAATTTTTGTAAAAATATACTCATTAGCCATATGTCCCTTAACATCTTTTTCTAAATGGATCCTGTACAGCTGTTGCTGATTATACAGTTGGACATTTTAAGGTAAAAACAAAGCAAAGCTAAAGTTAAATAATTAAGGCTGTACAAAATAAAAACTAAAAATAGTGATTCTTATTTACACAGTAGACTGTGCATTACTTATATAGCAGACTGTGCATTAACCTAACAATTAGGATAGCTAAAGTTACTTCTTTTTTGGGAAAAATCTCAACAATAACTAGAGTGGGCTGTTTTATTGCAGTCTGCTGTTGTGCAGTTTTCCCCCTCATGTCAGTGGTGCTTCTGTAGATTTTGTTTGGGAAGGGATCAATGCAGCAGTAGTATGTTTTGAATGAATTACATTATAAATAGAATAGGGTTTCCCAAACTTGGGTTTCCAGCTGTTTTTCGGACTACAACTCCCATCATTCCTAGCTAGCAGGATCAGTGGTGAGGGATGATGGGAATTGTAGTCCCAAACCAGTTGGATGACCATGTTTGGGAAACCTGAAATAGAAATAGGTTCCTCTTTTTTTGCCTTGTGAATGGTTTGAGAATGAAGTGTTGTAAAGTCATTAGGATTCAGCAGTGAAATCATAGAAATGTAGAATTGGGAAGGGACTACTAAGGCCATCTAGTCCAATCCTCTGCAATACAGGGATGTCTTGGGCTAACATGGGGCTCAGTGCCATGACCTTGACATTAAGTGTATCATGCTCTGCCAACTGAGCCAGCCATCTAACATGGCCCTTACTGGGCGGTAAGCCACGGTTTGTCTTCGCCAAATCCAGGCTTGTATATTGTCTCACTCTAAACAAACCATGAGTTTACAACCAAGATTTGTTATTTGCTTACGACTCATGGTTTGTTTGGGTGAAGCAAGCCATGGGCCTGGGTTCTCCTTAGGTTCCAGTAGTTCAGCAGCAGATAGTGGGGAGTTCACAGTAAACCACAGTTTGGCTAAGTGTGCCATGCAAATGAGGTCTGAATAGAAGTTCTGGGCAGCAGAAGCAATTAAGAGAGTAGCATTAGGAGGCAGGGACTGGAAATCAGACAGTGGCTTACCAGAGTCTTTTGCTCCTGATGGACATAATCTTCTTTCTGTATATATTTTGATAACTGTAACATTTCACTGTGTTTGAGGGAAGTGCATAAGTTATCCCAAGGATATGACATTTTCTTACCTAATCAAGTAACCTCGACATAGTGATAATTATGTCATTGATGTGGGAAATCTATTTTAGCTGTATGTTTTGGTTGCAGGCTCCTTTAAATCTTTACATGCAATTCAAAAATGACTAATTCTGCAATGCAAAGATACCTCAGGGCTGCTTAAGATCTGAACAGTTCAGCAGGTGGATGTTCTTCCTGAAGCAGATCTTTGAATAGAATCAGAAACGTTCCCCATTTCTAATACAGAGCTGTTGGCTAATAGGTCTGGAAGCAAAATAGGTCATGGCCACATTGGAATGTGCTTTTTTGATTAGCTAATCATAGTGATGCTGCTTTTGGTGTTTGCCTAAGAAGAACTAAGGGATTCACCTTTCAAGCCCCATCAGCTGAAACCCTACAAAAGGACTTCCCACTTGCACAGTGGGTCCTTACCCTATCTCCTTCCTCCTTACCCCCTGAAGTTGGCTGGGGGCAGTGTTAGAAACTCAGATATATAAGCTAGTTACCAAATGGCACTTTAAATCTAGGTTACAATCACCACAATTGGCGCCCAGAAATCCCCATGTAGTTGCAATTGGACCCACACCAGTGGCAAAACGCACCTGGCGCCTGACTAATTTCTAACACTGGCTTGGGGGCATGCAAGGAGAGGGGGGATCATTCTGTCTGGCAAGCTGAGAGAACATTAATCTTAGTGGGACATTGAATTCTAGCCTAAGGGTTTTATAGAGGTAAGGGCCACAATCCAGGTTAGTTTGGAGTGTGGATATACAGAAATAAAGTGAGGTGTTTAATAATATCTTTATAATGGAAAATCCACAGCCTATGCCACATTGTAAGCAGTTTCCAGCAACTGCAGTCTATCACATCAAAGAAAGAGGTGTCGTCTTTATCTATTTGGGCTGTGAAAATAGTCCCTCCCCAACAGCCGTGTGCTCACATACATATGGGGGTGGGGACTAGCAGGTTGTGAATTAGCCCTATGACAGATGACACAGCTTAGAGAAGGCTATTGCATGTGTTAAAAGGAGCATGCATAAGGGAGAAGAGTAAGAGAACCAGAATCTTTCTCTCTCTCCTTGAACGTTGTTTTGAGTCATGATAGGGCAATCTGACTCTGCACTGCACCAATGCGGATTGTATTGGCTAAGAATTGGGTGTCTGCAGTTTAAGGATACTGCCTGCTGGAAAGCTAAGCAGACCATAATGTGCAGTGGAATTGTTCCCTCCAGATCTGTAGATGACACTTTCTCCCTCATGCTTCTACTCCTGCCCTACTTGATGAACAAGTGAGCATCACCCACTGAAAATAAGTGGGCATTTATTCTGCTCAACTTGATTAGTAATCCGTAAGCGACTGTTTTGAAGTAATCTTTGGGTCTCCGGGCATTTGTGTTGTTTTTCTGTTTAAGAAAGCTGCACAACACAGATGTTAGCAGCCAAACGAGTTATTAGCTGTGGGGTGTTGTTGATGTTTCAGGCCATTTGGGAATTGCTGTGACATAGACTCCTTCTTCTTCTTCTTCTTGCAACGGCACTTTAATTTTTCTGTTTTGTATATCACATGACAATTTATTTATCTTCCTCATTGTTTCTGTAGGATGGTCACTGCTATCTGAAATTATAAGTACCCAGGACAGAATTTATAAAGAACAGGTGTTGAGAGAGGAAGGTAGGGAGGCCTGAATTTAGGCTAATTGCCTCCTGGGCCCTGAAGAGGAAAAAAGGACCACCTTATTCTCACCTTGTGGTGGGAGGGAAAGCAGCTGTTTCCATGGCACTCACTTTAGCAGGCAGGGCAAATAGCTTCTGACTGGCAATGTTCCACCTCATTTGGAATAGGAAATGCCTCTGTTGGGGATGTAGAGACAGTAGTGTGTTGAATGTAATGGGCCTTCTTCTCCAGAGACTAGGAGGGGAGGGGAGGAAAACAAAGATGTCTGACAGTATCAAAGCTGGAACAAGACTCAGGGTGGCATATCCCCATCAGTCCTGAGAGCTTGCTGTGGGGCAAGAAGGTATTGACTTCTGTGGGTTGAAAGCAAAGCTGGATCTTGGAGTCCCAAGGATTGAGCCCAAAGGTGTGGGAAGTGAAAAATTCATAGAAAACTTTGCTCTTATAGCCAACCTGGAGTCGGTTAGGTCACATTTGAAAATGCCTGAGATTGTTTGCAATTTTCTGAATCCTCCACTTATAAATGAGTGGATTTGAGGAGCTGGAGTAGATGACTTTTTATATCTCTTCTGGGGTGTTTTCTGTTATTCATCGAAAATTATTTCAGAACAAAGAAAAAAGAAAAAGAAAAGGAATGTGAGTGAGATGAATTCTGCAAATTTAGCAAATGCAATAAATTTGCAGGAAGCATTTATCCTTACATGTTTTGTATAAATCTCCCATCTTCTATTTGTGGCAAGGAACTGTGCTCCTGGTTCTCATTCTCTCTCTCTCTCTCTCTCTCTCTCTCTCTCTCCCCCCCCCCCAATCAACCGCTGAATGTCCTATTTATCAAGCGACTCCTCTGGCCTTCTGAGCACTTTCAGGCATATTTTTCACAACCACCTGGACCCGAAACTTACTTTGAAAACAACCACTATGAAAGATGATTGGGGGGGTGGAGTATGTGGATTTCCGCACCTTTGAATACATTATGAGCTTTTTCTGCTGTGGTTTAGTATTGCAGTGCATGTGCAGTTCTGCCTAAGGGCTTGTGCAGGCAACCAGCTCGCTGCTCCCATTGCCAGTGTTGTGGTGCTAAACCAGAAGTGAAGAACATGGTACCCCAGGAAAAAGGAACCAACAAAGAACATGAAGGGGTGTTTTTTTTGGACAACACTCACTCTTCTGAACTGTGCAATGTATGCTGACCAAGCTTATTTTTGATATGCAGTGAGGAGTGGCTGGAATGATGTGACATCTTCAAGCACTATAGGCCATTCACGCTTGTATATATATATATGTATGAAAAACTTTTAACAAATACCAGATGATTATAATTCAGGTTTCCTGTCTCCTTAGTCCACAGTTGTTGCATTAGCTAACTGCTGGGTGTGTTAGCTGCATAGAATCCAGAAAAAAAGTCACATACAGGCCAGCATCTGGGTGGGCCTTGTTAGTACTCAAGTGTGGACTCTGGCCATAAATGAAGTTCAAACTGCTTTTGTTTTGTGTGTGTTTTAAGTCAGGGACTATGTGCAGCAGTTCACATGGTCCGATACCAGCAGGATGGAGAATGCTTTTCCCTGTGTCCAATGTGGTTCTTGACAAGGGTGCTCTCCCCTCATGTTCTCCCTGCACCCAAACGCCAAGCTTTTGCTAGCGCTGCATATTTGGGTGAGTGTGCCGAACAGCACATCCCGGACGGCTTCCTCTCTCTTTCCTTCATGTTAAGACAAGCAATGTAGATTTTCATAGATTAATGATACGGAAGTTAATCATCCCGCAAGTTCTGCTGCAGCGTGGAGCGCGGTAACAAATCCACAATCATAACATGGGGGGAGGTAATTAAGGACTGACAAGATCCATACATCTAATTTTGAATGCTAATATAAAGGTGACCTTTAGCGGAGGCAGTTTGAAATATTCATGTTTTGCAAATGGGATTGAAAGAGAACCTGCAGTTATACACCGTGTGCCCATTTCCCCCCCTTTGTGAAGGAGGCTTGCCTTTACAAATGTTTATTAGAAACCTCACTTACAATGCAAGATTGGTGTTTCAGCGTTATCAGAAAGGAGGAGAAGAGGCTCCTCCGCCGTTCAAATGGGGACGAGGGTGAAAAAAGAAAGAAAGATCCACCACCTGCATTAAAGAATATTCCTGGCCAATGCATCTTAAAAGCAATTGCGAAACATTCCTTTGTTACCCTTTACCCTCACTCTTTCTAAATGGGTTGTTGCCTGCTTTTGCTATCTGTTGTGTGGGTGGGTGGCTGTTCCACATGAAGGCTGGTGTGTCTCCAGAGACTTTTGTTTTAAAGGTTTGATGGGCTGGAAAAGATCAGCTGTTTACTGTTTTGGAAACGAGATGGGGGGAAAAACACATAAGAAGTAAGGTCCTTCCTTTAGAGGCAACATGCTGATTAAGTCCTTGAACTTGAGTACATTTATTTTGCTAACCGCTTAGCTCAGCTCAGAGCATCTGACCTTGTTGCTTTATGCTATCGCTTTCACATAGCCATCTGCCATTTCAGACAGAGTGACCTAAGAAAATGGCTTTTGTGTGTTTTGTTTGTTGCTGTTGTTTTGTTTTTAGTAGACCTCACCAGTGCTGGGCTCTTGTGTTGCAAGGGATATTTTCTCTCTCTTTCACACTCTTTTAACATTTGCAAGTAATTCACAGTTTCCTTTTATCTTCTCCCTTGTTCCTTTGGTTGATCTTTTGGCAGATGGTTTGTCTGAGGGCATGTGAGGTGTACAATAATCTTACTTTGGAGAAACAAGCGAAAAGAAAGGCGGAATTTTTTCCAGATGGCTTTCTGGTGCTAGGGTGTATTTGTTGCTTAAGATATTGTGCTTCCTTGGATATGCAGGTGCAGCTGACAAATCCCTCTTTCATGTGTTACAAAACTGGCCCAGGTTTGCTCTGTCTCCTAAATAACAGCTAAATCCTAAATCTGAAGACCTTCTCTTCACATAAACTGCTTCACATTTTTCAGAACAACATTCTGTACGCATTCATCTGGGTCTACACTTGCATCCTGCCATCCCGTTAAGGAATTAAAGAACTGCTTACGCAGCAACCCTTTGAGATGAATTTTGCTGGGAGACACCTCTTGCCGAAGGCTACTCATTGACTCCATAGGCTGAGTGGAGAGTTGAACTTTGATTTCTCACATTCAAGCTAAGCACTCTAGCCCCAGCCTCCCACAATCTAGTGCTCTCCAGGTGTCTTGGAGTACAACTCCCATAGGCTCTGACCATTGGTCTTGCTGGCTGGGAGTTGGTGGAAGATGTAATCCAAATCTGGAGACTACCAGTTTGGGGAAGGTGTTCCAGCCATTAAACCACATGGTGTGGCAACTGGAAGAATTGTGGCCCAAGGGCCAAGAAGCTAAGCTGAACTAACCGGTATGGAGCAGTGCAAGATCCCTGCTCCTTTTTTCTAGTACAGCATCGCAAAGTGAGTAGGTTAGGACTGTGTTTGTCAGAACAAGTGTAGCAGTTTAACATTATAAAGGGGCTGTGGTTTTGAGTACAGGCAACTCAATTATATGCCTATGACTTATAAGTTTATTATTTAATTTGTGCATTTCACGCTTCTCTGTTTACAGGCTCCTTTGCCCTACAAAATATAATTCAAACCTCACCCTTAAAAAACAACTTCCCAATTATTTTTCTTATATAATGATAGTGCCATGCCTCTTAGGAAGGATTTGACCTAGACAGATCTGTTTTAGCAGGAATACCTATATAACTTTTTTATTTTTAAAAAATGCAAACCTGAGCAGGAAGTTATCTTTGTATATAGTTACCATGTGAAATGAGTAGGTTACGGTAAATTTCAGTGTTTGTGCATGTGTGGCACCCTTCTCCCAGAAACCAAATTTAGACAAGAAAATATAAAATAGTTACCACGGTCCCCGACCCCTCTTCTTCTTTCCCATCCAGTCCTGTCTAAACCTCTCATTTTGAGATCTCTTCTGCTAGTCCTTATCCAAACGTCATATGGTCACCTAGTTAACCTTTTACTAAATCCCCTTCATTCTTCTTTAGAGTCTCTTTGGACTCTCACATCCTAGTGTGATCAAGTAACGCCTTCCCACCACAACTATCCACCAACCTGAGTCATAGAGTGCATGTGTTAAATTCCCTATCATCCCCACCTAACGGATCTATTTAGATACACTTTGAAGAGCAGATGCAAGGCAGAGGAGACAACATTGGGCTAGGTAGATGAATGTTCTGATATAACATGGCTTCATACAACCAGCATTATTGATGTTATGTGTGTTATTTCTAGCAGGGATTGCTCATATTCATCTGGAGCACATATGCCTCATGTCTATGCATGCTTTTGATTTCTTTTTCATTCAGGTTTTGCTCCAAAGCTTCAAAGCGAGTACTTGCCACACTGAGAATGCTTCCACATAATGCCGGTCTTGAAAGACCTACATTGGTTCCCAGTACATTTCTGAGCACAATTCAAAGTGTTGGTGCTGACCTTTAAAGCCCTAAACGGCCCAATATACCTGAAGAAGCATCTCCACCCCCATCGTTCAGCCCGGACACTGAGGTCCAGCCCCAAGGGCCTTCTGGCATTTCCCTCACTGCGAGAAGCGAAGTTACAGGGAACCAGGCAGAGGGCTTTCTCAGTTGTGGCACCTTTCCTGTGGAATGCCCTCCTATCAGATGTCAAGGAAATGTCAACTATCTGACTTTTAGAAGACATCTGAAGGCAGCCCTGTTTAGGGAAGTTTTATTTTATTTTTAATGTTGTTTTATTTTATTTTTAATATTTTGCTGGAAGCCGCCCAGAGTGGGTGGGGTATAAATAATAAATTATTATTATTATTATTTCTTTATTTGGCACTAGAAGCTGCTGCAGCACTAAAGCATTAAAGAGCACCAAGTTTAATTGGCTCTCAGGATCTCAGCCAATGTCCTTCAGCTACTCCAAGGCTGACTTTTATCCTGTGTAAAAAAGTATATTGACGTAGAGCTCCCGTGTTAATGATATCACACAGAATGAAGCCCTTAAGTGGGGAAGAAGAGAAACTTTTATCAACACTTGAGAGAGAAATGCCAGCGTATTTATTTTTAAATGGTGTTTCACAGTTTCTGGATGGTGAGAAAACAGTCCTTTTAACTTGTGAATTCTCAGCCTGCCATGATGAGAATGTAGTTGGGGATGCTTACTTCATTGTGAAAAGTTTAGAGGATAAAAATCCGTGGCCCAGTATATCTGTGGCTAAGTGAAACAGCCTCTTTAGCTTTTCCAAGCTGGAGAACTATTTTAAGTGTGAAATAGTTTATAATAGTTGAGATGATTTTTACTGGGTGTTTTTGTTTTTAAAGTGAAATCACTGTTACAGTGCATATGAATTGAGTAGAAGAGTAATTTCACACCAAAAGGCAAGTGTGCTGTTTTACCTTACTGTATCCCTTGGTCTTCAGCTATACTGGATACCCTGGCAAAAATCTGAAAGGATAAAAGGGTTTATGGCAGGGATGGGGAATATGGTGGTCTCCAGATATTGTTGAACTACAACTCCCATCATCCCTGGCCATTGGCCTTGCTGGTTAGGGCTGATGGGAGTTGTAGTCCAGCAGTGTTTGATGGGCCACAGGTTCTTCATTTGTGGATTATGGCCTTGATAAACGCCTATTGAATTTATCCTTGGTTCTCCCCACTCCCTCTATCTTTTTTTCTGACCATGAATGATCCTAGGTAGAATCCAGCATTATGTGCCCCCTGGAGCCATCCCATCCCACCCACCCCAACCTTACTGTTGCAGTCTTCCTGCCACATTAAAATCAGCAGAGCTGTATTCTATAATACATATTTTTAAATAAAAAAATCAGCAGAGCCCAGTGGATGCTCTTGGAGTGCACAGAACATTTCCAGATGAAGTAGTTGGGCTGTCTGTCCCCATATGCCCTAAATTCATTGGTCCTACAGGGAGCAATCACCTGTCGCTAAAAAGGCTCCCAACTCCTTAGCTCATTTGTTTGCATGCAGGAGAGAGGTTGCTTGCAAACCTAAAGCATATAAGCAGTATCTTTAGGAGTTAATTTCATAGCAGTTGCTCATTGAGATTATATTTCAAATGCTAACATCCTAACTCAGACTTGCCTAGTCTTGTGAAATCATGGCAGCCCTGCCGCTGGCAGCCAGAGAGCCCACAACACTCATTGCTACCTGTCCAGGTCTGCTCTTGCTTCACAGTAGATCTATGGCATTTCAGCTTTAGTTCAAAGAACCCTGAACAAAGTGACCCTTCATTTTGGCTTCGGCTTAGCAGGTATCTTTGATTTCACAAGAACAATAAATCTGCATGACTTGACTTCCTTGCTCTACATGCTTCTTTGCTTTAATGATTAGCATAAGGCTGGCACAGCTCTCATAAATGCCAATTTTATTTAGTTGTAAATACGTTTCCGATTGGAACAGGGTATGTAAAGGAATCCCTGCTTTTTTTCTTCTTTACTTGAGCACATTGGCCTACATTTTTATTTTATATTCTATTTCACAGTTTGGAGCTGAGATCTGCGTGTTACATCCTTCACTGCAACCTTAACCAGGCATTTATACTCATGCCTCCGTAATAGTGAGGTCAAGGGGAAAAAAGGATGGAAATGTCATAGCTTATGTTTTGTAAGAAAGTGACAATGGTGCCAGAGGGAACAGGGCACTCGTAGAGGCACACTACTCATGGAATAGTGATGGAAGAACATACTCTGGAGTTACAGAACTAGCTTGTGCAGCTGGTTCAAGCAGTACTCGGAAGCTGGGATAGAAGAAGCATGATTGGCATGCCAAGTTAGATGTGTGCTCCTCACGGATAGTGCGGTTCAGGAACCCAAGGGAACTTCTTTTCTTGATTCTGTAGCGGGAAGAGCCAGAGAACCCTCATTGGCTGGGCATTAGGTGTCTTTGTTAAGTGGCCATAAATATGTAGGGCTGTCCATGCAAAGGGAAATTCTAATTGCCTCAGAATTTCCACTGATGCTTAAAAAAAATATTTATCAAACGTCTTAATTTGTTTACAGTAATTTTTGAAATATTCTACAAATCCTTCCCAATCTTCCTTAAAGACTCTTTTTTCCTGATCTCTTATTCTACTTAGGGTTGCCATACATCCGGAATTTTCCGTACATTTTTGGTACGGCAGCCCATGTCGGTAGTGTAGATTTTGGCAATTTTCATTAAAAATAGCTCAAAAACTGCTTTTTAAAAAAATAAAATAAAAAGCATATACTGTACCATTTGGGCTCCCACTCGTGCCTTGGAGCCCTATGTAGATACATGGGGTGAAGGGGAATCTAAATCTGCCCTATGCAATGCATTAACCAGATCTGAAACCCCTATAATGCAGCCTGGCAAATAAACTAGTCCACAAAACTTTCCATTAGTTGAGCTTCCAACACATCCTTATGGGACTTATTTGTGGCAGAATAATGGCAGACCTTGTGGGAAAGCGGAAGAAAGCAACCCACACTCACTCAATTCATCTTGAGGATTCTTGCCTCGTTGTCTGGAGGCAATTCTTACTTGCCCCAGACACTGAGGGAATTTGCAAGAGTCAGATGTCCCTGAGGGTTACTCAAAGCAACTCCTGCTTTATCCTTCAGTTTTTCAGCATCTGGCTGAAGCCGCCCACACTGACATTCTCCTAAACTGTCTAAAACATTCTGAGAAGCTTTGATTATGCTTCACCGACTCCCAGTTCTAGGTAATCAGTAAATTATTATCACTTAGTGTTTGCCATCTCCCCTCAGGCTTTGTATGAGAACAATGATAAATCTTCACTCACTTCCTGAGTTGCCTCAGAGACATGAGTTGTGTGGTAGCAGTTGCAGACCAGTCTCCAGTCCTGGACAATTGGTCATAATCTCCTCCAGAAGAAGACTAGTGTGTTCAAGTTTGCTTAATTCCAATTGAGGATTCCATTTTAGGAGGAAGTGACCTAACCTACTCAGCAGGAATTCGTGAAAGAGCAGACCCAAGAGAATTGATATGTGCAAAAAGACTAAAAAGTGTGAGCTCCTTCCCTCCTCCTCATTGATAAGGATTCTCTCCCCCACCCCCACCCCCACCCTTGTAAAGATTACTTAGAACACGCTGAATAGAGATACTGAATTACACAACGTGTTTCATGGATATTAAGGGACAATAAACCCAAGACAAACTGCTCTCTGTTGCAGCCCTTTGCAGGAGGAAGAACTTAGTTGAACACCATTCATCCTTTCCTTTATGGAGGGACTGCACTCGAAACCCAGTTAAACATAGCATAATATAAAGAGAGGCACAGGCTTGCTTCACAGATGTTTAAATTGAATTGTGCTGCTTGTCTTTATTTCTCAGCTGGGGTTAAGCCCTGAACTGTGCAAAATGAAAATGGCCTTTTTATTGCCTTGGAGGCTACATTGTTGGGCTAATGCCATGGATGCTTGGTGATGAATGCTGTACCCCAAACAGCTGCCCTAGCAGAGTGCTAGAATTGTGGTACAGTATGCTATTTACCAGCCCGCTAAGATGAGGTGACTGAATGAGATATGCTGAACCAGGGTTAGCCTGCTAAAGATTTTCTTTTTTATACTATCAACAAAAAAGCACAAAAAAGCCGTCTACAGGCCATGCAGAGTATAATTTTTCTTTTGTGCCCGAACAGCGTCTGCCAGAAACTTGGTAGGCAAATAAACTCTGCTAATTACTGATCATCCGCTTCTGTTGAATCCAGAACGAAATGCACAAAGTATGGGTGCTAAAATATGTACCCCAAATATGACTTGGGTTCATGTAAAACACACTTCAAGATGTTTGTGCTCAACAGTAAGATGGTTAAAGAATCTTAAATGTAATGCTGTTGTGTAATTGACAACCATTTAAATTCAGTGGGAGTCTTTTCCATTGACTTGAGTGGAATTTAATGGCCATGCTCTGTTGTAGCCTACCTGTAAATTTCTCTGGAAACACACCCGGGGTTAATTTCAACTTAAAGTTAGTTTGACTGGACAGCATGCTGGCAATATTGGGTCATGTACATGCTATACATTTCACACAACCCAAAATAAGACTGGGAACTGTAGTTTGTTAAGTAATGTTTCCAGGATTCTTTTTTTTAGCTGTGCGTGATTTACATGGTTTTATTATTATTATTATTATTCATTTACTCATTGGTCTGTGATGGAGGAGCTCAAAGCATGAACACCCCAAGCGATTCTTGCTTCTCCCACAGCCACAGCAGCTTTGGAGTCAAAAGGATACTAGCCATGACTCAGCCTCCCTCCAGCTTGCCGCTTTTACAGACTGCAGCTATTTTCCTCCAGCCCACATCATCACTAACTGTCTCTGCTAACTATCTCAGAGCTCAGGGATGGGCCCCTCCCAAGAACCATCTGACATAGAGTGCCCTCTCCTTGGTGTTTCTTAATGGGCCATCACTTCCTTTTGTTTTCCATAATGGCTCTTCTCCCAGGTGATTTCCTGATTTATATATTAATCCTTGCTGGATCCAAGGGTTCAAAGAGTCTTGATTAAATTCTAACCCTTTACTGGATCCAGGATTTTAGGGGAGTCTAGCACTCCCAAACTCACAACATTATTGTAAATGGCATTTGCAAGGCTTCATCAGTAGTAATGCATTTAATATGACCGTCCGTTGAAACTGCTGATTTTCTTAATGGGCATAAAACATTGTAAAAAAGAGAGTTTACTGAATTGCCTTTTCTTCCTTCAATATTGCACATTCATCGTTATGAAGGGTATTAAACTAATTTATCTTCCCATTTCTAGCATTGAGAACATTAATTCTGTTTCACTCTGCTGGAGCTTGGAATTGAGAGACCTCATTAATGGCACTGAGGGGTGTTCTGAGGTCACAGATATTATTTGGGTCCAAAGTTTATTTAGTGTTTGCATCCCCCAAACAGATGTGGCAGAGATTGCTGTAGTGTCGCTGCCTCTGGAAGAGAAATGTTCTACATCTCTTGTGGGTTCAGAGTACTCACCCACGGTATTGCTCCCTGTCTTTGTGTAGGATTCCATTGCTATATCCTTGCCTGCCAGCCTTTGTAGAAGGCAGGTGTTGGGTATTAGAAAGTTGTCCTCTCCTAGAAAGACAACAACCTCCCCCCCCCCAAAAGTTTTGCAAATTCATTCATTCATTCTTGCATACAACACCTGCACAGTTATTAGAAAAGTTTCAACAGTTTAGGAACATGTCCTAAGAAGTTTCATTTTATTTTCAAACTTTTTATTCGTGGTTTAATAATGGGAATCATTTAGATACAGAAAAAAGAGAATGGGAGGGGGGAAGCTGCCCTGCTGATTGTTTAATTTAACTGAGTATGAGATCTTATACTTGCATTGAAAAGCCCTTTCCTATTATTGAGTAGCATTGGGAAGGAAATAAGTAGGGGATTAAAGATTTCATTTTGCATTGTCTGTCATTCTGAGCAATTTATGAGCTCTGCTTTACAGATTAAGTCGATTCCTAACTAAAGTTTAAGGATAGGAGAATTTCCCTCCCCCCTTTTATTGCAAATGGCAATGCTTTGCTTGGGAAATGATTTCCTGCATTCATTTTTTTAAAAAATCACCTTAAAAGTGGTGCCAGATCCTGTCCAAATGAACACAAAACATTTATCTCTTTAGAGAAGGTTGCTTGCATAGATAGTCACCTTTCAGAGTTCCAGGATGCCATTTCTTTACACTTATCCTTGTTCCATAAGCTGTTTTTCTCATCTTTGGTTGAATTTCTTAAGCACTCTTAGCAGGGGCAAGGGGGTGGGGCAGGGAAGAGAGGAGAATCCAAAGTCTGAAAACACTGGAAATGGTCAGTCAGTGTTTGCTGTTGGCATGCTCTTTCAGATGCAGCATGGCTACGTGTTCAATGGAGTTACCATGGCATTTTGACATGACTTGGCAAAAATCACAGAAGGGAGACCAGCCCTGAGGGTGGGGGGTGGGGGTTAAGACTGGGGAAAAGGGGAGAGATTAGTGGGGTTTTTTTTGTTTTTTTTTGCCAAGTGCTACACAGTGAAGAAGTCTGTGTGATATATATATCTCAATTTAAATGTAAATATGCACATGGCTGCAGTCCTAAAACCAATGATGACAGAGCCATCAGAGAAGAAAAGAGAAAGACAGTGGGGCCACTTTGGGAATAAATGGATTGTGGATTGCAGGCGGGGGTTTTTTCCCAGTTCTCTGGTGGACTGCTTTACTGCTAAATGCAAATTCCTTATTCTTGGAATTGGCAACTGCACCTTTTCAAAAGTAATTGACTTGAGCCTCCAAAGTCAAACTTATGCTATAGCTACGGATAGTGTCAACATGACTTGATTTGTACATTCCGCTCCCCCATCTTTCTGATCCTTTGGGGGTGGTGTATTAAAGTCATTTCGTAAGATATTCAGAACAGTAATGGCAGCCAAGTAATAACCAGAGCCTGTAAAGCAGCTGTAATATGCTTTTTAAAAATAAATAAATTGAAAAGAGACACTGCATGGATGGCCACATGGCTCCGATCATAGGTTGCAGAATTAAAGACTCTTGTGAAATGCAATTTTATTTTCTATGCTCCCTTTCTGTCTTTGAAAGAACCATCATGGACACTTGATAGGATAACAAAAGTGAGGGAAACAGTGGAAGAAGGTTTGTTTAGTTGGTCGAAACTTGGTCCCATGGTTGGCAATAGGGACACTTCGCATCCAGGTGATAGTTGTGTCTTGTACCCCAGCTGGCACCTGATTTGATTCATTGTAGGGCTTAATAAATTGCTCCTGCAGTTTTAAAAAAGAGTAGATATCAAATCCAATTTCATAGCATATCAAAACACACAATTAATAGCAAATGATTGCTTCTTTTATTGCTTTCAATGATATAGCCATTGTTTCTCATTGCTGGGTTTCCTAGGAAATTCTGAATAATGGAATCGAAAGTCTGTCGTTTCTGTCATGCTTCTGAATGGGGATACAGAAAATTTTAAGATTTGCTAGGCACTTTGCAGGGAAATTGCATCAGTGCAGTAAGAAGCAGCTGACCCAGTCCAAAGCAAACACACAACCCAAAGCGGCAAATTAGAAACAATTTTATTGCATCCTGCCATCATTTTGTCTCATAGTAAGCTGAATACCAGTTATTGTGAATTGTGAATGGGGAAAGTAATGTTGCATCTGGCTAGCTACTGTGAGAACATGATGCTGGACTAGATGGGCCACTGGCCCAGTTCTTACATTCTCATGTAATTACATTGATCTCTGTTGACACAATTTTCAGTCCTATTTATTCGACAGTTGTAAGCGTGCATACCCCAATGGCTGGATTTAAGCTGTCGCCTCTCTTCTGCCCTCCCTCTTCAACATCAAACTGGACCTTTCTTTCATCTTCAGGTTGCCTTGGAGCCAGAACTGGCGGCTAATGTTAGCCTTCAGATTTCAGCCAGGTGCCAGTGCCATTTTTCCAGAAAGACTTCACAGGCTACCTGGCAGTGGCATCTGGCTTGGCAGAAAAGAGCCTGGAAGAATAATGGGGCTTTGGCTTCTTGCCTGCCACAATAGATTCTTAATCGCTTGATCCAAAACAAGAGGCAAAGATTTGCAGTGACAGTTGCAAGCTACTACATACAAAGCTTGAGAGAGAGAGAGATAAAGAAAGAAAGAAAGAAAGAAAGAACTGAAGGCTTTTCTTATCCTTCGTGTGTGTGTGTGTGTGTGTGTGTGCGCGCGCAACATGCATGTGCATGCAACGTTTTTCTAACAATCAAAGAGGAAGAAAACACTTGAGTCATTACTTTCCATAGGGGCAACACAGTGGCTGCCTTTGTGCCTCATTTTCTGTTTTTTTGTTTTTGTTTTAATGGCAAGCATTAGGAAGGCAAAGAAAGTCATTTGTCCCACCTTTTGTCTGCTGTCTTTTGCATAGCAAGGATTATTATCCCTCCCTCATCCTGTCCTATTAATAAGCCACCAATTAGGTGTTGGCCTAGAGGGATAATTTGACATGGAAAGCGGAAGTCCTCTCCCCTCCTGCCACCCCCTAACCCTGCCTGCCATAAAGCCACCGCCTCTCAGCTCTTTGGCTGACTTTGGAGTGGCACCACATATGGAAAAAATAGTCATAAACCCAGAACGTATGAATGTATGAACTGTTAACTCCCAAATGCAGCTGCTTCTCAAAATGAAGCAACATTAACTCAAGGCAGCTGAATTAAACGAGTTACACAAATCTTTGTAGACACTGTTGTTGTAGACACTGTTGTAGACACTGTTGTACACACGTTTTGTGTACAACTCTTGGGGACAGCACCAACAATTAACAGATGAGGCTGCCCTCTGCTGAGTCAGACTGTAGGTCACCTAGTCCAGTATTGTCTAAGCTGGGCGACAGCAGCTCTTAGGGTCTAAAAAAATTGGTTCTTCCCAGCTGTTCTGCTTGAAACCATTTGAACTGGAAAAGTCAGGGATTGAACTTTGGATCCTTAATTACATACAAAGCACCTGCTGTGTTGCACTCCCCATCGTACCATTGTCTTTCCTTGCTTATGCCTGGGAAGTAGCTTGTTTTAGATGCTTTACCTTGGGGATGTGGTGTGTGTGTGTGTGGCCAGGCATAAAGTCAGGATCAGGAGAGCAAATGTGCAGGTGCGCAACTGCTGCAAACAGCCCTTGTTCACATTTCCTGAGAGACTCCCCAATCTATACCCCACATCATGAGAATGAGAAGAACTGAGCCAGGAAAAGAAAATGAAATTTTTGATGTGTTTTCTGCCATGAGCCATGGGGGGAGAGGGTGATTTTAAAAATTCTAAACACATTGGATAATGCTTGAATCTCAAAAGCCATGAGCATCATGCCCATAATGTGTGTGTATGTGCTTTTGAGAATTGCAGACACCTCCCACCCTTAAAAGAATTTTTGCAACTTCTTTGTGTTCTCTTGTGCTGATTTCTTGCTGTAGTTTATAAAGTTTTCATTTAAAAATGAAAATAGTTCTTCTTTTGAAGAGTGTTTTTAAAAGTCTGCTGTAGCAACAAATGTATTCTTGCTGGCTTTCTTGTTTCCCTCATGATGGAGTATGTGAATGCTTTGCACATATTTCTCTGACAGGCTGAGAGAGTGTAGGATCCATATGGGATCCAGGCTGAGAGAGAGAGTAGGATCTACTTCCTTGTAATCCTGTGCAATATGCAGTAACATCTTATGGTTGTGTGATGTTACAATAGTCTTTATGGCTTTGAGTTTCAATATAGGTTATTGGCGTTGGGAAGGTTCCTTTGACATTTTGAACCGGAAGAAGATGTGTGGTGAGAATGGCTTTAGTTCAAAGAGACGGTCATTTCAATAAAGGACATTTCATTGTTTGAAATACGTACAGTGGTACCTCAGGTTAAGTACTTAATTCGTTCCGGAGGTCCGTACTTAACCTGAAACTGTTCTTAACCTGAAGCACCACTTTAGCTAATGGGGCCTCCTGCTGCTGCCGCGCCGCCGGAGCATGATTTCTGTTCTCATCCTGAAGCAAAGTTCTTGACCTGAAGCACTATTTCTGGGTTAGCGGAGTCTGTAACCTGAAGCGTATGTAACCCGAGGTACCACTGTATTTAGGTTTCTGACTGCCTTGCTCCTATATTTCTTTATAAAAGAAGCAAGGAAGGAAAATCACTTTCTTGATATACAGTATGTAGATTTCATTTTTTGCCTTTCCCAACAGCTGTCCTGTTTTCAATATCACTGTCCTTTCTACACACACCATAGCCATGATTCAAAGAAACTGTGAAGGTGCTTTGATGAAATCAAATGCTTCTAATTTCCTTTCCTTGGTCTCTCTCTCTCTCTTTTTAGTATTCTTCACAATCTATATTTCTGGACAGCTCACTCCTTCTATGTCCTGATTATTGCTGTAAGCCATTACAATTACCGTAAATATAATGTACTAGGTATGCATTCATAACCAAAGAGACAAATCTATTTGCTCCAGGAGTAAAATCTATTTGCTCCAGGCTGTTTGATCCTTGTTACAGCCAGACCCCCCCTTCATGTTTACTAAGAATTAAGTCCTCTGAATTCCAAATAAGTGTGCAGCAGTGTTAACACAATGCATAGTGTGATCTCAGACTGAATCTTATAATTGTAGAGTTGGAAGGGACCACAAGGGTCATCTAGTCCAACCACCTGCAATGCAGGAATCTTTTGCACAACCTAGGGTTCGAACGCATGACCCTGAGATTAAGAGTCTCATGGAAGACAGTGGTGGCTATTAAAGATCATAGTCTTAATGAGTTTGTTGTAGATTAAAAAAAAATACTGTACTTAGCGTGTCCTTTATTTATTTATTTTTTTACAATTTTAAGTGTGGCCTTTTAAAATCCTGTTGCCTCCATGAAATCCTGTTCTGTTTAAAAGTGGCTCACCGTATTTTTCGCTGTATAAGACACACCAGACCACAAGACGCACCTAGTTTTTGGAGGAGGAAAACAAGAAAAAAAATATTCTGAATCTCAGAAGCCAGGACAACAAGAGGGATCTCTGCGCAGCGAAAGCAGCGATCCCTCTTGCTGATCTGGCTTCTGGGATAGCTGCGCAGCCTGCATTCGCTCCATAAGACGCAC